CCGCTATCCTTCACTCTGTTCTGACTGCAGATTCGGGGTTGCAGGCCCCCAAACCCCCAAACTTACTTCTACCCCCGCTCAGAGCCACCGAGAAACGGTCGGGGTATTCGTTTCCTCTTCCACCATATCCAAACGTACGAGGTACGAGTCAACGTCCAGGTTCGCTCCACCCTCCCCCTTTCTGTTGACTTCAACTCGGACGAGAGCGCTACTGCCGACTAGCCCTCCTCGCGGCCGATCGTTACGGCAGTTCGACTCGATAAACAACAATCGGAAAAAAAAAGCAGACCCGCCCCTACTTTTATACGCATCGCCTCCACTAAGGGCCGCTTCAGTCTTCTCTGTATAGTTCCAATTTTTTACGGATGTCCCGAAGGACTGCTCGCCCCGTCAACGCCCCGGCGGTCTGTTGGAGTTCGGGCGGCCTCAGTGCCACCCCGCCTCGTCAGCATACCTGTCCAGATCTGGCCTTCCCCCGGGAATCTGCCCTTCATTTTGTACGGGTTCAGGTAGGTATACCCAGTATATATCGCGCCTCCCAAATTAGCAGCGCGTGTCGACTCTGCGTAGGGGTCAGGCAAATCTTCTCTGTACTGTTCTTACTCCAACGGATGCCCCGACGGCTTGGCTCCTCAGAGCCTGGCCAGCCTCTAGTACCACCCGACCTCGACAAGTGGTCGCGTGGATCTCCCCTCCTTACGCTGGGCTATGCAGATCCTTTCTGCTCTTTCCTGCGTGCCTGGCTTAACTCGCGACTGGGTTCATTCCCAGATTGCATATGAATGTTCCTTGCGCAGATCTTCCTTAAGGGGGGGGGTCTTCCGTTGGCAGCAGCCCCCAACGTGCCTTGGCAAGTTCTCCGCGCGGACTTGGCCTCCCTCAGAGGACAGGTTCGGCGCGCCATACATCCTTTAACCTGCATCAAGCACTCCGGCCCCGCCCCTAATTTTCACCCTTGCCTCGTTGGCACGTCGCGCCAATCCTCGGAAGGTCCTGTCGTCCACTGAGGGTCTGGCCTCTTCCCTCTTTTCCTGAGGATCTGGCCTTATTCCGAGGCCCGGTTCAACCACGACCTCAGCCACCACTTGGCCAGAAGGCCCAGACGCCACCCACCTAACAAGACTGAGCCTCCCCTTTTTACAGGACTCAGGCGTGCGGGCCCAACGCGCGCTGCAAACCGTGGTAGCGACAACGCTCGGGTCCGCCCCCGCTACCTTCGGTTCGCGCGTGCCACCCTTACGCATGAGCCATGCCAACCCTTTCTGTGACGTTTCAACTTCTAACGATATACCGACGGACACAGCCTGTGCCGCGAAGGCAAGCGGCCCCCAAGCAGTTCGGGATACACTCCTTGCCCACCGAGTTCCCTCATCTGGGTCCGAGCGCCGGCTCATTTCGTGGGCAAACCCACTACGGTTTTGCGCCCTCATATGAGCGTGAGGATAAATAGTAGTAACAAAAATTCGACATAAATAAATTATATGTATACATCCTCGCAGACGTGCAGCAATTGGGTGGAAACCGTGACCGCCATAACTGTAAAAGGCGAGGGGGATAGTCCCACCGGCCCATCAACCCCTCAAGCCTTTCGCCGCTCCTGCACCGTCGTCCGCTGGCCTCGTTCCCCATACCTCCGCCGCAATTGCCCAACGCCGTAACCGACAGGGCTAGCCCAAGCTTGGCATCTGGCGGCGCAGCCTCCCATACAAACAGTACCACGCGGTGCCCCTGGCCAAAACGCCGCCTATCAGTACGCCAGTCCTACCGCTGGTCGCACACGCCGACAAAAAAAAACAATGAAAGAACAGACCTTTATCCCCCAACCAGACCCGTTGCTCGATGTAGGCCGGCCAGCTACCCCGACCGCCCACTCAATCAGAAAAATCACACGCGCGCCTTAAAGTTGCACGCCCACGTACTCCCTACCGGGACAAGGCAGACCTCTGCCCGCGTGCGGACGACCTTCGCATTTCCCGCACGGGCACTCAAAATCTAGGTTAACCGAGCCTTTCTTTCACTTGCAAAACCTAGGGCGGTTACCCTTGTAAGGGTATTTGTGCCGACAACACCCCTCTTTTCTTTATTTCCGCTTCATTGTCATACCCCAGCGCCGCCAACACATCCGTGACGATCCTCCTCACCCAAGGGATCCCGGATGCAGTAGCGTCCCTTTCCTTCCTCTTGCGCCTCTGCACCCTCATCTGGTGCTGCTCCACCTGGTCCAGGCTCCCATCTTCTTCTCCTTTGTCTATAGTCGCCCAGGTGAGCTTCTCACTCCCTTCCCCATGCTTTGTCAATTTTGCGGCCTCCGAGCCTGTAAGCAATCCCAGAAATGTGGCGCACTGCGCCTCCTCTGAAATCCCGTGCACTTTCCTCGCCTTTTTCTTAAACTCGTGCACGAACGCCCGGATCGTGGAGAAGTCGTCCTTGTTGATGGCTTCCAGGTCCGCCATGGTCAACAAACCATCCCCTAACCTGTACTTCCTTAGCATCAGGTCTCTAAACCTTGCCCAGCTGCCATTTGCGGCGTCCACCACCCTCCCTTCCTCCTGATGGTGGCTATGAAGGACGTACCTCATGATACGCTGGAATCTAACTTCATCTGACAACCCCACCAGCGCCTGCTCAATCAAGTCTAGCCAATCGGACACCCGATCTCCTTTAAAATGGAACGTGTCAACCTTTGGGACATTGCTCGGCGCCCTCTCGCGCTTATCCAGGGCATCGTTGAGGTCGTCGAGTGTCACGAGCCTCCTCCCACCGTCCGCCATCTCCTCTGGCATTTTGATCAACTGCCTCCGGCTTCAATCTTCCTGTTATAAGAAAGGATAGGACGAAAGGCCCCACTCAGCAGTCCAATCCCTCACGATCCTGTCGGGTTGATCCCTTAAACATTCAATGCTCTAGACCTGGCAGACATTTTTCTTTCTATTTCCCTTAGGCTTACCCGGATAAGGCCTAACCTTACCATAAAGTCACCTCACTCACGTGTCTCATCCACGTCATCAGCCAAGCCGCCAACCAATCAATTACTCAGACCCACAATCATATGAACCACCGCACAACCCATCTCATACTCTTTCCCTCGTCCACCCATATGCCTAATTCTCCTTCATTCCCATACCCGAATGTCATTCCATCAAGGACAATGGTAGGCTTCCGTTGTCCCCTGCAACGGCGCCACCTATCGAGTGCATCGGTCCGGCACCGCGCGCGACAGTGCAGGACCCTCTCGGCCGCGTCACGCAGGAGTTGGACCAACCTCGTCACGAACACACAAAGTGGAGCTTCCCCAGGCCGCTCCGACGGAGTGCGCCAGCCATACCTCTCGCGAGCACCTACGACAGGATAGGGCCTACGCGAGGCACAACTTACCTCCACCTTACGAGAGTTGTCACCTCCCTTCGGTGGGCGTATCCCCGCCGAGCTACCGGTCCACAGTACGAAAGCTGAGCAGTTGCAATCGCAGAGGTGGACCAGCCGAGGGCGTTTCTCGTTCGATGTAGCATATGGGGTACTCGCGGTAATACGCCTATCGGACCCGCACGCGACCCGACATCTTGGGGGGCTGAGATCCCAAGCGTGACTCGTCGTCGATCGACTAGGACGCATCCCACACACCACGCGCACACCACTCTACGAACACAAAAATAAAACACACATACACACACACACACCTACAACACGACACAACACAGACAACGCGACAACGCTCCTAGCCCCTTAGTAGCCATCTCATAACTTTCCACTGTGGAAAATCGGACAAGCGTCGCGCGCGAGACTTTAGTAAAAAAATGCACGGACACAGGGTCTACTCATATCGACTCGCAATGCAAGCGTACGCAAGCAGTCGCGATGATGGCGTACTATGTGGTAGTCGTCTCTCGCGGCCCCAGGGGTAAGTCCTCCCCGGGCCTGGGCGAAAGTCAAGGGGTTTGACTTTGACGGCTGCCACGGACTATAACGCCCAACCATAATAATCCTTAAAAACCAAACGAAACACACACGAAAACAAGAAGAGGGAATAGGGCAAAAGTCCCCTTGCTTTAAAAGGGCTCGTGACCTTGGGGTACCCTTCCCCTCTACGGGTGGTACCGGCGGCCTACAATAATCCCAAGCGCTGCGCCTACGTGCGAGCCCGGCGATCCCATAACTTTTAGACGCTGGGGCGGCGAAACATCACGCGCAGCACTCTAACTTAAAGCTGCGTGGCCGCAGGCCAATTCTATACCAACCACCGATGCCAATCGTACGTGGTAATCGCGGCTCCGGCCTCGCGATATTGAATGGTTGAAGGAACACATCGCGAGGGGTCGCCCCTAACGATATTGAACGGCTGAAGGACACGCCGTTCGGCCCCCGCGACATTTCCGCCTTCAAGGTGGGGTGTCTCGCCGACCAAAGTAATTAGGCTAAATTCCTCCCCTTCAGAGTCTAGGGCTTGGGATGTGCTAGACAAGGACCTTGAATCCCGGCCCAGGACCAACGTCCGACTAAGAAGGCCTAAAGACGCAAATGGCAGAAGGGAGGGTCTTCCCTGCCCCTCAACCTCAACCTTTAAACAGGTTTTTAACACGGGCCTCTTAGGCCTCTTAAATATTCATCATAAGCACACTCACGCATACATGCACAAGGGAGATAGATTTGCGACAATCACTTCTCACAGGCACAGTGGGACCCCTCACAACCATGCATATGTATATGGGATCGCAGACGATCCAAATCAAAAATCCGAGCCACAGGACATACCTGCAATCACACCAAGAATCAAACGACAAAACACGCACTACACGGAGTCAGCCCCAACCATTCTCTATGCTCATACCCCTTTGCTTTAGCCATGCAAGCACCAATCGCCGATTCAACCAACCTCAATTAAATACTCAGTACCTTTGTTAAATGGTCATTTAATAAAAGTCCGGGTGAAAACCCTTAACAAACAGTAAGACTACTAGGGATAAAACCTTTTAGGTTGAGTATGAAGAATGAGTTGGAATTGAGCCGAAGACCGATGAATCGGCAACCGACCTGTTATCAGTGATAACAGAAGATGATCCTCAAGGGATCAAGCTGAATCTAGTCTTGCTCTTGAATCAAACACCCCAAAAGACCTGTAACACAAGATCGGTCAAATGCCCAAGCTAAATTTCCGGCATATGGGGGATAAACCTCCATAGCACATTTTCCCTGAAAGCTACCTGCCAACTAAGTTCAAGCCTGCCTCTAAGCCAGTGCCCAAAGCAAAGGTAGGCTAAAGGCAAAATCTCCCCTATTCAGGGTGGATGGCCAGAATCGCCACCTGTCAAAATATAATCTAACTCCTCGAATTCAAGAAAATTTCGGCAGCGCTTCCCGTAGGAAAAGAGCCTTTTCAAAATTTATACAAGCCCAAATATCAAAAGCCCAAGTAATCTATAACTCTGGAAAGTCAAATTTTGTCTAACTCCCTGAAGTAGTAAAAATTTAGGCAGCCCCCCCTTTGGAATTGGGGATTTCTCAAATTTATACCAAGTCAAAATTTGAACTCAGTTCCTAACTTTGAGTTCAACTTAGACAAAATCAGACTAACCCCTTAGTTTTGCAGAAATTTTGGCAGCACTCCCCCTAGAAAAGTGCTCTCTCAAAATTTACACAAGGCTAAGTTTAAAACCCGGGACTAACTTTGACTTCCCAAAGCCCAATTTTGTCTAACTCCCTGAATTAGCAAAAATTTGAGCAGCACTCCCTTTAAAATAAAAAAAAATTCCAGATTTTTACTAAGTCAGATATAACAAAAAGACAAGCTGAACTTTGACAAGTCAAAACTTTTCTAACTCCTTGAATCTGTAGAAATTTCGGCAGCGCTTCCCGTAGAGAAAGTAGCTTACCAAAATTTATACAAGTCCAAGTATAMTAGCGAGTCTCAGAAAATGCAAGAATCGATCTAATAATCTCAACTCAGTTAATGCAGGAATTGACCTAACTCCTATCGCTCTAGCACGTGGCGAGCCTCTAAAGCAACTATTTGTCAACCTGAAACCCAGACCAAGTAGTAATCTTACTCAGCCGCATGCAGGTCAAACCACAAAGGTAAGTAATCTCACCAATCCCAAGCTCCTTTAGCAAACAATAGTTCGTGCTCCCTCTGTGAGTTATCCCCTCATACCCAAATTACATAAGGCATAGGTCAGGCCACTTGAACTTACAGAGCGAGCCCAACTTAGCCAGGCCTAAAATCAAAATACCTCAACTTATAAAGCGTTCTGACTTGACCAGGTATACACAAACAGAGGGCACAACTACTTCTCTCTTCTTAGGGCATATGAGTAGACCACTCCAGTGGCCCTGAAATGTTTAAATAGCCAAGTTATATATATATCTCTAAACTTAGTCTTCCAAAGGGACATAGGGCTGAGCCGCTCAACTTAGAACACTGCTCAACTTGCCCAGGTTTACCTTCAATTATATCTCATTAATTGTACTCTCTTCAGTTGTGATAAGCTATAGCCAGGCTACCTAAACTTATAGAGCGGTCTGACTAGCCTGTTCTCAATAGCATAGTAATATAGTATAATCAGATTATATCCATTGGGTTCCAACATGTGCGAAGCATTGAGTCAGCCTACCTAAACTCATTGAGCGACCTGATTCTCTGCCAGGTTCGTTTCTCTCTGGTCCGGACTATGCGAGGCAGTAGGCTAGGCTACCTAAACTTATAGAGCGGCCTGTCCCCTGCCAGAATTATTCCCTCAGAACAAAACACGAGAAGGGCCGAACCACCTAAACTTATAGAGTGGTTCAGACCTCCTCGTTCTAAAACAAAGAAACARAAAGAATCCCATGATAAAGAAGGTGACCCAGGGTACCTAAACTTATAGAACGCCCTGAGCCCCTGAAAATCAAGCACAATCAACCCTCGCATGTC